CATGGCATTTCGGCGTTTCCCCTTGGCCAAGTCATGTTAGACATAGAAATAGACGAAAGGGCAAAACCGTCATAACGGAGGGTTTATGACGGGGTTTAGCTCCGCCACGCATCTCCCCCAAAACCCCACCCCACTCTTCTCTTCTTCAAACTTCTCTAATGGCGCCTCTACTCCTCCCTCTTTAGCCAACCATCATCGCTTTTCGAATTCGAAATTCCATTTTTGTTCCTCAAAACCTGCCACCTCCTCTGCCCCAATGTTGAAACTCCTCCGCCCGTCCCGCGTCCACTGCCTCACCGGCCCGACTTCCACTCTCCGAGCGAAGCCCGAGTCTAACTCGGTTATTCAGGGGCTGAGTCGGCTCACCCGGTTGGCTCGGAGGAACCCTAGTAATTTGGGGTTCAGAGCATTCTTCTGTTCCGATTCGAGTGATGGGTCCACGCCTGAGGCCGCAGTTGAGGTTGAGGTCAGGGCAGCTGAGTCTGAGTCCGACGTTTCCGACTCCAAGTCCTCTTCCGCTATCGTCCCCACCAACCCCAGGCCGGAAGATTATTTAACGGTAGGAGTTGGATTTAATTATTGTTTGATCGTTGAGAAAGATAATCAAATGATAGGAAACGCTGTTTCTGGTCTTCTATGATTTCATTGCTGCCACGGGGTTTAATTGAATTACGTTTTAACTTTCACACATTACTTTGAAATTCCACATGGAAGTTTTTAGTCGAAGAAAATGCTTAGGCTTTACAAGAATTGAATCAAAGATCATCCCTTTTATTGAGATGATGCTTGCTAGCTATTTTAACTGAAGAATTTTCATGGGTGCATTGTCTCTTATGGTAGTTCTAAGTAATCTTAGTGTTCTCTGTAAAAGGATTAGGAAGGGAAGCACATTTTCTTCTACTATGTTTAGAAACTCAACCCTTTCAAAATCAGTTGAAATGGGTTTATGGTGGAGAACTTAATTCCTTTGGCTTTTTTACATGGCTTCTCTAAATAATTGTTTCTCTACTTCGTGATTGTTGAGACCAATGTACTTGGTCTTTTATTTTGTAATTGATCTATCCATCACAGAGCTAGTTGACTGTCTACTTCATTGGCACTTGAATTTTGTCTCTCCATTATTTTATCATGATTTATGTATTTATTTATCTGCAGGTTTTGGCCTTACCATTGCCTCACAGACCTCTTTTCCCAGGTTTCTACATGCCAATTTATGTGAAGGTATAGCATATTCTGTCTTTATAGAGGAATGAAAAATTTTCTCCAGGTTTTGTTATGTGTCACATTGGATAAGTTGCGAGGTTTTCTAATTTCTTATCCAGGCAAGATAGCACTAAATCTATATATGTAGGGATCATAGATCCAGTCTGTAGACATGCATAAGGTGTGTAATGTTATAAATTAAAGAAAAAGTTCTGCCCTACTTCTTTAATAACTTTACCTGTCTTGCAGCTAGTGTAATAGCTGAAACTTCATAGTAATCTTGGATTTTTGGTCAACGGTTATCTTACTTCCAATGCTGATTTCTTATGCAGGATTCTAAATTATTGGCAGCTTTACAAGAAAACCGGAAACGGCAAGCTCCCTATGCTGGTGCTTTCCTTGTTAAAGATGAGCTGGGGACTGATTCCAGCCCAGGTTCTGACTCAGAAAAAAGTGTGTATGACCTTAGAGGAAAAGAATTATTTAACCGTCTTCATGAAGTTGGGACACTTGCTCAGGTATCTGTTGTTGTAATATTTCTATTGGTTGTACCAAAAAAAAAAAAAATTTCTATTGGTAGTTTTATGTCCTTAAACATCTTGTTAGGTGCTGAAAGCAACATTATGACCAATTTGGGCTAAAAGCAAGAACCTCCTCCGAATTATTACTTTTATTTTTTAATTCTATATTTCAGATTTCAAGTATTCAGGGTGACCAGGTTATCCTTATTGGTCACAGGCGACTACGAATAACAGAGATGGTGAGTTGATGGGTTTTGGAATCCTTCTTCATAAGCAATGGATTTTGTTCCCTGTATGATTACTCTTCCCTTTTTTATTCATGGCATCCTTTCAGTGTAGAGATTTTGAACTTAAAATTGTTATGGTTTCAACACAGGTCAGCGAGGATCCCCTTACTGTCAAAGTTGATCATCTCAAGGCATGTTAATATGCTCTTAGTTCTACAATTCTCTGTTAAAATTGAATACCAAAGTTTTCTTTTCTAGATTTGCACTAATTATTCTTCTAATATTCTGATTCACTGGATCGCTTCCATGATACAGGAAAAATCTTATGATAAGGATGATGATGTAATAAAGGCTACATCATTTGAGGTTATATCAACTCTAAGAGATGTTTTGAAAACAAGCTCCCTTTGGAGGGATCATGTTCAGACATATAGTCAGGTTTGTTCTTTCTTCTGCTACATACTTGTCTTTTTCAGTTCAAATGCTTTTGTCTTTTCTTGTTATTTTCTCATGTTGACCTTGAAAAGCTTGTATTCATTGTGTTTGTTATTCTTTTCCTTGCGTGCTTGAATTAAGTTTATTGTAATCAAGCTGCTTATGTCAATACAATATGGAATTTCACAGTTATATATGGTAAATTCAAATTTTGCAATATTTCCTCTTTCCATGCTTCTTGGGTGGCCTCCTCTTTGAAGAATGCTATTTCTTTAGATATTTTATGATTTAATAGTATGGAGGTGAGATTTATTTGTATTTTGATAACTTGTGGCGAAAAGAGTGTCATGTATGCATGATAGTTTGGAATCTGCCTAATTGATTCAATCAGTTATTTTTTAAAATTAATCACGATAATATCTTGTTCTTTTCTTGATAATTGTTGTCAATTGCTGCAGCATATCGGTGATTTTAACTTCCCTAGGTTAGCAGATTTTGGAGCTGCAATATCTGGTGGAAATAAATTACAGTGCCAGAAAGTTCTTGAAGAGCTGGATGTAAGTATCTTAATCTTATAAAGCTAATTTTTATCCAGGTTTTGGTTCTATTTGGTATCTTGTAGATTACACCAATGCATTCTTTTTCTGAATCAGGTGCACAAGCGTTTACAACTCACCTTGGAGTTGATGAAAAAGGAAGTTGAAATTAGCAAGATTCAGGTATTTTATGCTGTTGTTTTTCTATTGTACATCCTTGTTTAGTTCTTTATCATTGTTTGAATTACATTAGGTGTTAACATATATCTATGTTGGATCATTCTTAGGAATCAATTGCAAAAGCAATTGAAGAAAAGATTAGTGGCGAACAACGCCGTTACCTATTGAATGAGCAACTTAAGGCCATAAAGAAGGTATTTGGCATCACTGTGATGTGGTATTTTTATCCATTTTGTTCTAGGTTGGTGTGGTTTCAATTTCATATTCTTTATTTCAGCTTTTGGCCTAGATATAATGAATTGAACATTGCAGGAACTTGGATTGGAAACTGATGACAAAACTGCCCTTTCTGGTTAGTATTATTTATGACATTTTGTTGGTGGGATTAGATTTTAATCAGACCATTGTTGCCCCACTATCTTTCTTGTAAAAGATGGGAAAAATGCTATTCTTCTGAGGAATCTCTTAAGTTGATCTCCTTTGTTTGCTTTTGCCTTTATAATTGCTTGCTCTTTCTACTAGATTCTTATTTTTATGTTACTCTCTTATAATTAGGTCTAGATCTAATACGATTATCAGTTCTGTTACAGTCTGTATTTTATTTTAGTAACTGATTATATACTTACTTTTCTTTCAATGCAGCAAAGTTTAGGGAAAGACTTGAACCAAATAGAGAGAAATGCCCACCTCATGTATTGCAAGTTATAGAAGAGGAGCTTACAAAGTTACAGCTGTTAGAAGCCAGTTCAAGTGAATTTAATGTGACCCGTAACTATCTGGATTGGTTGACTGCTCTTCCTTGGGGAAACTACAGGTTTGATTACTTCCTCTTCAGTGAACATTTTTATCAGGATTTTTTTTTTTTTTATCAGCATTGTCAGGATTGGTTAATTCTATTTTTAGTATAATGATCTTTTCCGTTCTCTATGAAGTGATGAGAACTTTGATGTCATTCGAGCACAAAAGATTCTTGATGAAGACCATTATGGATTAACTGACGTTAAGGAAAGAATCTTGGAATTTATAGCTGTTGGAAAACTCCGAGGAATCTCACAAGGTCTGTTTAGTTTTCTTCCTTGTATTTATTGTTCTGGAAAATATGGTTGAACAATAAGATTTCTTGAGTTTCCATTTGCATCCTTGCTTTTCTATTTCAGGCATTGTAATGCAATACCAGTGCAGTGCTTTTTTTCCCCCTTTAATACTGTCTGACAGGGCCAAGACCTAATCTGATGGAAATATGAAGAAAAGGGCACAGTGCCTTTTTTTCAACTTTAAATCTTTAATACTGTCTGATAGGGCAAAGTCCAAATCTGATGGAAATATGAAGGAAAAATAGCACTAAAGCAAGGGAACCATATGATCTGACTTTGTTGTAAAATAACATCCTAAAGGATGAGTTAGCAATTAATTTACTATTCCATTGCAGTCCCATACTAGTGGAAACTGAACCAGCAAGTTGCAAAATCTCTTTTCCCTCCTACATTAGATATTCAATCTAAGCAACTTATATGAGGCTTGTTTTGGTTTAATAGTCTCTCCCCAGCTCTTTTCCTAATGTGATTAGTTTGCTATACTTTATGGAGTCCAATTGGCTTTTGAAGTTGATTTCTAATGAATTGATAATGCATATAACTTTAGATCATGGCAAGCAATTATTTTTTAGCAAAAGGTGAAAATATTGTTCTCTCTACTCTCATTATTATATCAAGTAATCACACCTTTTCTTGCTAATGTGTCTCAGGAAAAATTATTTGTCTGTCTGGTCCACCTGGAGTGGGTAAAACTAGCATTGGTCGTTCAATTGCACGTGCTTTGAACCGTAAGTTCTTCCGGTTTTCTGTTGGTGGATTATCAGATGTTGCGGAAATCAAGGTACTTGTAAAACTCCTTGTTCTTTGATCAAGATCAATATGTTACCGTATGCTTCATTCTTTCTGTAATTTCTGTCTCCTGATTTACACCTAGGGGCATCGTAGAACCTATATTGGTGCTATGCCAGGTAAGATGGTGCAGTGCTTGAAAAATGTGGGGACAGCTAATCCACTAGTTCTGATTGATGAGATAGACAAGGTATTTTCTTGCTTGGTAATTTTCATCATTTCAATTATAGTAGTGTTTGGTTTTCCTTATGTATTATTGACTTGAGTGATTACTTTTTTGCTGTTTTTTTGGCATACTGATTGGTGTTACCATAATTTTTTAATAGAGAATCACTACCTAGCAATTCTCGTTCTGGTGTTTGATAATTCCATAGCAATTCTAATTTATCAAATTATCAAATATATTATGTTTATGGCAGTTGGGAAGGGGACATGCTGGTGATCCAGCTAGTGCATTGCTAGAGCTCCTTGATCCTGAGCAAAATGCTAATTTTTTAGACCACTATCTTGATGTGCCAATTGATCTCTCCAAGGTATGTTTGATTTGAAGGCTTACACCCTTTTTTTTCCCCTTTTTTTTTTTTCCTGCCTCTTGTCTTCTCGATTATATATCAGCAATTTCTGAATTATCTTAAACAGTTGTGACTAGCCTATGAATTAATGCACTAGGGTGTATGGCTCAGTAAACTTTGTATAGGCATTCAGAGGGACATGAAATCCTTACAACCAAGGAGCTTATAGTGAACACATGACAGGACAGATTTCTATGTTATTTTTCTTTCATGCATGCATTTGAGGGCTTTCTATTTTTTCTAGCTGCCAGAATTTGACACCTAGCCTATCACGGTGGTCTGTTTTGTCTTGTGGTGGTCTGTGGCAGTTTTGGGCGTGGTTCAAATTTGTTGGCTTGATTATTTACCCCTTATAGACCTAACCTTCAACATTTTCCTGCAGGTTCTGTTTGTCTGCACAGCCAATGTGGTGGAAAACATACCAAATCCTCTCTTGGACAGAATGGAGGTTATTGCTATTGCTGGGTATATTACTGATGAGAAAATGCATATTGCCAGAGACTATCTGGAGAAAACTTCACGGGAAGCATGTGGCATCAAGCCTGAACAGGTCCTTGTCTGCACAGCAACCTAGAAAAAGACTTACTGTGTTTCAATAACTTGTTGGCATGCTGAATGCCTGTTGCTTTAACTAAACTACAAATTGATCTTTTCCAGGTTGAGGTAACTGATGCTGCACTTCTTGCCCTAATAGAAAATTACTGTCGAGAGGCAGGGGTTCGGAATCTTCAGAAGCACATTGAGAAAATTTATCGCAAGGTATGGGCAAATTATATATTTAAAGATGACATATAAGACTTGAATAACATAATAAAAGGGGATGACAAATTTCTGCTTGACAATGATATGGAATTGTAGTAAATTATCGCCTGGAATTAGGATCTGGGGTTAAAAAATCTCATGGTCTTGCAGATTGCTCTCCAAATTGTACGGAAAGGGGCATCGAGTGAACCTGCAGTTGCTGGGGAGAATGTCCAACTTGCTGAAGTGATAGCAGAAGTTGTTGATGAATCTGGTCAACAGGTTGTAACTGAGACCAGTACAGATGTAGAATCAGTAGGTAGCAGTAGTCTTGAGCAGACTACTGAAACCCTTACTCAAACTGATACAGTTCTGACTGATGACCAGCCTAAGGATATAAAGGTACTACAATCATTTCATTTTGAAGTTTTTTGTTGTTCAGAGAAAACTTTAGTTCTTGAAATTTGAATGTATGTAAGCTCAGATATATCATTTAAAATAATACTATTGCATTAACAAATAGGACACTAAACTGTTTGTTGTTATTGCCACAAGAAATTAGAAATTTGATTGCACCTTTTGGTCTGTTACAAGTACAGTAATATTTGGCTTTGAAAGTCCCCTAAGGGTATGTTTTGTTTGAGGGAAATGAAGGGGAGGAAAATTTTTTGTCCAATCAAATTAAGAATTTAGTGCAACATCTTAATTTGGTTGGATAAAAAATTCTCTCCCCTCTATTTCCCCCGAACCAAACATACCTAAGTGATGTCTGAAGAGTTGGAGACCTCTAGCTTGTGTTGGAGGTCTCAGGTTTGAAGCTTGGACAGGTAAAGGAGGGGTTTGAGAAATGGGGAAAGGCAATCCATTATCCATCATAAGTTGTCTGAAGGAAGAACTTGTCCTTCATCTCCGTTTATACTATTCCTTAGCCATTGATAGGCTACTTCATTCAAGATATAGCTTCTTCCTTAAGGGAGATGATCATACATTAAACTCCAGTTGATTTTTTCTTCTTCTTCTTCTTCTTTTTTCCCACTTGACAGGATGATACTGAAAAGGTTCAGGAAGGTGAAGCAACCAAGACAATAGAGGAGAAGGTTTTGGTAGATTCATCAAACCTAGCTGATTTTGTTGGGAAACCAGTTTTCCATGCAGAGCGCATTTATGATGATACCCCAGTTGGAGTTGTGATGGGTCTTGCTTGGACTGCTATGGGTGGATCCACCTTGTACATTGAAACAACACAAGTTGAGCAAAGAGAAGGAAAAGGGGCTCTTCATCTTACTGGTCAGCTTGGAGATGTCATGAAAGAAAGTGCACAGATTGCTCATACGGTTGCAAGGGCAATCTTGCATGAGAAAGACCCAGAAAATCCCTTCTTTGCCAATTCAAAGCTCCATCTGCATGTTCCTGCAGGAGCAACCCCTAAGGATGGTCCAAGCGCTGGCTGCACCATGATCACATCCTTGCTATCTCTTGCAATGAAGAAACCAATCAGAAAGGATTTGGCAATGACTGGGGAGGTGACTCTTACAGCAAAAATTCTTCCAATTGGCGGGGTAAGTTAAAAAACAACCATGATGTTTAATCTCAATCCATTACTTGCATGTCAAACAACAGCCACGATGTTTTAACGGCTTTAATTTCTATTAAGTATGCATGGCAATCCTATTCCTCCTCCCAATCCCCTGTCCTCATTTCTATCACATCCCAATGAGTGTCACGATGCTATTTTGTTGTGGCATTTCTTCATTTTTTTTATCTTCTCCAAATTTCAGGTTAAAGAAAAAACCATTGCTGCTAGGAGGAGTGGAGTCAAGACCATTATTTTTCCATCTGCTAACAAGAGGGATTTTGATGAGCTTGCTGAGAACGTTAAAGAAGGCCTTGACGTTCACTTTGTAGACGGTTATAGTCAGATATTCAACTTGGCCTTTGATTTTGACAATGATACAAGAAATTAGGTCTTCACTGCCGAATCAAAGTGCAGGTCTAGATTTTAATTTTTGTACTGAATAACCCTACTTTTCTGGGTCATCAGGTGATCATTATAATTTTTTTTTTTTTCCTTTTTCATTACTTCAATCTCGAAGTAGGGCTCAAATTTGTTGTGTATTCTTGTTTCAGACCACAAGAAATCAGTACAATGCAAGTGAATTACTCCCTTTGCCGTATGATAATAGTCTTTTTTTACTGAAAATTTGTTCTTAAAATTAATTATTTAAAGGTAGATAAATATATTTATATATTTTTTCTTGTTTGTTAACTCTATTGTTATCAATTAACTTTAATTATTTATTTTACTATCAAGATATTTTATTTATTTGAAATATCTTTCTTAAGCTGATGCAGCATAAAAAAGTTGAGAAAAAAGAAAACAAAATTATTATTTTAAGATAAAGTAAGAATATGGAAGGATAAAACAAAAATAAAATGTACAATCCTGTAAATTTTTTTTTTTTTTAACAATTTAGACATTATTTACAGGTATATATGAGTGAAGGAAAAAATGAGTTATGTGGGGGCACGAACACATCCCTATAGGAGATAAACAGTTTTAAGTCAAAGTGAAATGCCGAGCCATTCATACAATCTTGTAATTTGATTTAACTATTTTATTAAATTTTATTAAAATTTGGTGGGGTGGGAACAGGTGTATTTAGTTCCTGTCGAAAATCCCTATCAAGATTCTCATACTGGCTATTAGTGGGAATGGAGGTGGGGAGTTGGTCCCTGCTTTTTGGGGATTCGTTCCCATTTCTACTTCTTAGTAACTATGGGTGGCAATTTGTCTCAATCCATGAGATTTCACAAGAATCTTTATAACGGGGATAAAAGGTTTTTTTTTTTTTTTGTCCAATTTTATAGAACCCGCAGGAATACTTATTCCCGTAAAAAATTACAAAAATATATAAATTAATTTTATTTTAAATTTAATTTAATTTTGAAGTTCAAATCTAATTCAATAAAAATTAAATTTAACTCAATTTTATCCAACCCAATTCATTATCAACAAGTTTGTTGATTTAGCTATTTATGTTAAATTGATCTTTATTTAGTTTGGACAATTTATATTTGATTTTATATTTAAATAATTTTAGTTAATTATAATTAAATTTTTAAAATTTTATTCATTATAATTAAATATTAATTAATTATATATAAAAAATTTATATTTTTATATTAATTGACGGGAAATAGGGATTCCCGTTTCCTGTAGGAAACAAGAATGAAGGATAAAATTTGTCTCCCATTAAAAATTCCTGCGATGATCCTTTTTTTTGTCATTCACGAGAACGGGGATGGAAAAAGACTTTCTGACCTTGCAGGGCCCGTTAATATCCCTAGTAGTGAGGGCAAGGTAAGGTTTTTTGTTGATCAACTTATAATGTTGCTAATATTGTAATATGATTGATAAAAACTTTGTCCCTCCCCTCCCCCCTCCCCTCCCCTTCCATTCTCTCAATCCCCACTAACCAATTGTACCCTTTATTAACTTATCTTTTTCTTTCAACAGAAAATATTTTTTTCAGTCCATACCAGTCTATGCTATGAAAATATTTATACTCCATACTGTATAAGATCCATTAAGTAATTTCTTAATCCAGACTGCATGACGGAATGCAAAATACTATTCTGTTCTTTTAAATTAGGCTTCTTTTTAAGTTTTATGAAGGATTTTAATAAAAATAATAAATAAATAAAAAGAAATATCATGGTGTGAATAAATTAATATGGCTAACAAGTGAATGGTAAAAGCCATGAAAATTTTGGCCTTATTCAACAATTTGATAAAGACTATGGCCCTATTTGGTTTAATTATTAAAAATAATTGATAATTGACAAATTTTAATTTTATAATTTATTTAGTTTGAAAAAAATAAAAAGTAAAGGAGAAGAGTTAAATTTTTAACTAATCAAATTATAATATTTTTAAATATTACAATGTTATTGGACCAAAAATTCCTCCCTCCCCTTTCCTCCAGTTTCTTCAAAACGTACATATCATCAATAAATTGCAACCAACCCCTTCTTTACAAGTTTATATATAATAAGACAATATCTTATTATTTTATGAATTTAATATATGATCCACTTTAAGAGAAGATAAAACAAATTAGATAACCATGTCTATGTACAATAAGGCATGTGCTAAAAATCCAAATCCAAAGTTGAAGTCCACTACCCCACATGAGGCGACAGCCGAGCACTTTCTCAGTGGGATGATTTGATTCTTATGTCACTATTATTTAAGCTCAAGAAATCTCAAATTCTCAAAGAAAAGGTACTTAATTATATATGATATGCTTAGAGAGTGGAGTTGGTGACATTGTTTAAGATTCCTCATGATTTTTGTGACTTTAACTTTTTTACTCAATAGTTTTGTATCAATCTCATTTCCTTTTTAAATAAAATTTACAAGCTATGTAGCTTGCAATCTTGTCAAAAGAAAGAGGGGAAGGAATGGCATACATCCAACCAATATATAACCAACCAATAAAAATAAATTATCATTCATATAAAAACTAATGTTGTGTTTGGAATTGCCAAATATGCCGTGCTGTGGCTCTTAATTATGTATTATGTTATCTCAAAAATTGTGTTAATGCTTATTGTTTGGGAATCATTTTGAAAAAGTGTTGTATATATGTCACTTCACTAAATTATACAAAACCAATTGAAATTTAATTGAGTTGGTATCTACTAAATTAAAAATTTTGATTTAAAGTTAAAGTTAGAGATTGAAATATCTGTATTATCAAATAATTAATCTATTGATGTATTAAAAAAAAACTAACTTATACCAAATATTAATTGACATTAATTTATTTTTAATAAATTATCATTTTTAATAAAGTGTATAAAAGAAAAGTGCCATGAGAAAGCAATTCCTAAGAAAGTCTACGAATACAAGAATACTAATCTCCTTCACATCCCATAACAAAGAAAGGAAAGAAAAAGTGAATCCTAACCTCAAAGTTATGCATAATAATTAAAGTAAGATTGATATCTATCAGATACAATGCATGGGCGAAGTTTACCAGGGCAACAAGTTAATTGTAAGCTAATGCTCAAATTGAAAACATTAAACAAACAAAATAATGAGAATAAAAAAGAACCAAGAAGTTCCAACTCTCAAAAACTGAATATTCTTTTTTAACGTCGAAATTAATCAGCATGTGATATTTCATGCAATGTCATCTTGTTAGGAAGAAATGGATAAGGAAGAAAGTGAGAAAGAGAAGGGCAGATATTTGGTACGCCATTTTTGGGTCTTTTCCACTAAGAAAAAACAAATGATATAAAGCACTCAAAAGAGTTGTTTTTCCACATTGGTAATCAATTAAAGTATGTGTGATTGGGTTATTTAACGATCCAGTTTCAGAGCAATTTGAATTTTTTAGCAGCCAAACTCCACAAACTTGGTGAATTTCCAATAATTAGTTTTGGATCGTTTCTTTCACACTAATTTTTTAGATCATGGTGTGGTTCAATGCAACAAGTATTTCATGGTTATTGGAGAAAAAGTTCTTGATTGGATAAATGGTTTTTATTTTTTCACTTGTTAAAACTTGATTGCATAAATGTTTACACTATATACTTGGAAGTGTTCTTACAAATTTTTATTCCTATAATTCCTTTATTTTAAAATAACATATGTCGTTTTTTTGACTTTAAGTTTGTCTTAAATAAATTATTATTTTTTATTTGAATTTATTCTAAATAAATTATTATATTTTTATTTTTAAGATAAACAAATATTTTCTCTTTACTTTAATTCTATCGTCATTATCTATTTATTTTAAGTAATTATCTTATAACAAAAAGTCATACTTTATCTTTTAATTTTTTTAAA